ATCTTACGATTGATTAATATTCTGTCTTGACTTTATTGGTCACTCTTGACTGGTTTCTCTATGTAAACTAGGAGACAATGAGGGTTTCGCGCATTAAAGGAATATCTACGATCTTTAATTATGAAATTTCATGATTGTATGGAAATCACGTGATTGTATCACGCTAAAACTACATTAAGCATTTGTAATATATTTTATGCAAAACTTCAGCCATTCTATTTAATAAATCTGAATTTTCACTGATGTGCATTAATTAAAAAGTTAAAAAAGAGGAATGCTTGAGCACTGAGACTCTCCGGTCTTGGGCTCATTTTTAGATATTGCCTATAGTGCAGCTGCTTTTTCCATTTTGCCCCCCCCCCCCCTCAAATCAGAGAAAATGCCCACTCTTATTGTCTTTGCAGGGACTCATAATTTTGATAAACTATTTTATTTTTAATGCAATGCATTTATTTTGCTTCCCTTTGACCCCTTGAGTTTGCTGAAGCCACAATAGATCGAAATATAAATGTTCTTTTATTAGTTTGTCCAATCATTTTAATATATCATATGAAAATTGGATATCTCTTGGTCTCAATATTGACATCCTCTTTCTCTTTGTCAGCTAAATGAAGCTACATATTACTGGGAAATGAAGTGCAGATATGTTTGAAAGCAGAGACAGAGAGTCTCTTTGACTGACAGACAGCACAGCAGGGAGGAAATGAAGCCAGGGGTGGGGAGGGTGGGTTTAAACTGAGAAAAGAGCCAAAGGGAGGGAGATTATTTCCAAGAGTTAAAGCCTGAAGCCCCCAATACTTTTCCACTGACCCATTCGGTAAAATAGGAACTGATGGTCAAAGATTGTCTGGCATATTAAGTGAGGTCTGTTCAGAAAAAATTACTGAGGGGAAAATTACAGAATTTTTAAACACAATCAATTTTCTTTTCTTTTCTTTTTCTTTTTCTTTTCTTCTCTTTTCTAGATTACAAGCCTTGCATTAACTTATTTGACAGTCAAAAGTCAGTGGGGCTGAATATTCTGCTAAAGGAAACTCCTTAAGAATGTTGAGGATTGTTGAGTTGATTCGATTCAACTTGGTTTTTAAGTAAAGCTCCCTTTTGAATTAAATGACGCTCTTGTTCGGTAGGATGTCTGCAATATCTCTCACAGGCTGTGAATCTTGATTTGATGTATCAGATGTATGAGATGTTTCCTCTTTAACTAAAACTGTTCAGCTCTGTGACAAACCTCCTATGTATGTGGTCATTAATTCAACGTGATGAGTAATGCCTCTGCATGACTTGCCTTTCACATACAGAGTGTGGAATCTATGAATAGCTTCTCTGCCGAGAGGCAAAGGTGCGTAAATCACAGCAAATAAGTCAAGGCGATTCAGCACTGTGTTTCCGTGTTCTGGAGACTTTCTCTGCATTGATGTAGTGACTCATCTCCCTCTGCGATACTGAAGGCCTGGTGCTCATTGGAGGGGTGTGGAGCACCTCGGCTGCTAAAACCTCAGAACTCAGAGCTGGGATCAGTCTCAAAGGCCTTCATGGGGATTTGAGTAGCCAGAGGTGCAGCAGCAGGATGACTCAAAACCAATAGATGTAAAAGACACTGCCGATGGAGGGCTGCTGACGCAACATCTCGTATTAAACCCCCGTTAGCCCAGTCAGGGCATGGGGGGAAAACAGGAAGAGCTGATTTCCAAGAGGAAGACACTAAGTCTGTTTTATCAGCTGAGCATTGCACTAAACAATCCTGCATAAATCCCCAAAAGGTTGCAGTCCATTCTCATATATGCTTCATTATGCAGACTGAGCTTTTTCCAGAGAGCAAACATGTTGATGAGCAGGTCATTGTATGGCTAATCTTTGTGAAAGACTGATTTAAGCACTTCATTTCCATTATGCTGGCTCCATATTTTCACTTTGACAAGAACTCAGGCCAACATAAGATGAATATGCAAAGACAGAGAGGAAGTCCAGAGTGAGCATCGCTATCTAATGACCTCTAGCCAAAATAATGAAAACTGAGTTTTTTACTGACAAATTGAAGTTTATGACTCATCAACTCTTGTTTTATCTACAAGACAGGATGTGACCGTATTAAAGCAGGTACACATTTAATCTTAAAGGTAATCTTACTGTGTTGTGCCTTTCAAGAAAGTGTGCAGGAGAAGGAAAACAATTTCAGCTGATGACTGTTTGAGCATTTGTTAGATTCATGAATATGCAATTCCTCTTGTCTCTAGATAACATACAGCAGAAGCCCAAACTTACAGATTTTTGGCCTTTTGTTGAACACAAACATTTACAACCTCCCACGTATTGATATGAGCGTTGAGATCTATTCATCTCTTCAACAAGAAATCTTAAACTCTCACTTTCTATGTAACTGTTTTGAAATCTAAACTCTGTCACAGAATTCTCTTAATAAATGTGGCTATTTTCCTGAAAAGTTTGGTTTTAAAAGTTAATTATCTGGGTTAAAATGTAAAGAAAGCGCATAAGTGCCAAAATCTGTAGTTTCTTGAGTGTCCACTAGAGACTGGCCCCAAAAATGAGTCAATGGGCTCTATTTTCTTTTCCGCCAGTGAGGCGGCAGAGGGTGGTGGACCCCACGCAGTGGTATTTTCATCTGGCGGAGCCCGGCGTACAGCCAGTTTGGTATTTTCGTAGACTGAGGCGCACCGAGGTCCGCCAAGCTAGGCCTGGTGTCGTGGCAGGGGGAGGTGTAGACAGAATCAGCTGGTGCAGTGACATTTTTGTGCTCGCCAGTGGCGTGTAAAGTGTGCTGAAAGCTCACCAATTCAAACCTGGTCAGCTTTCAGCACAGGCGGAGCGCAGCTGGTCTAGTGGTATTTTGGTAGACTGGCGGTAGGCCTGTCGCGATAATCAATAAATCGCCTTATCGCTCGATAAATAAAAACGAGGTCGATAACTTTGCCAGCCTTGATAATTGACATGAGTTTGTTTTCCTCCTCTCTTGCTACCAAACACGCTGGATGAGAGAAGAGGTCTCACTCTGCGCATTGTCCTCGGCACCTGGGGGCGTTGGCTCTATAGGGGAATGAACGGCGTTAGTGAACCCTCCTGTCAGTCATTCAGTGTCTTTGTCACGAGGGGGCTGGCGCGCACAGGCACACAGACACAGACTTTTGGATACAGTGCTGCAAGTGAGCGTCGTGAGTGAAAAGCAAGCTAACAGAATGAACACGACAGCTTTGGTGTCTAAACCGAACGCAACAGCCCAAGTGTGGGAATATTTCGGCTTTAAACCAGTTTTGTTTTCGTCAACCACAAAACTCCACGTGTGTGTGTGTGTGTGCGCGCGTGCGTGCGTGCGTGTCTGTGTGTTGGAGGAGCACAGCAGGATGATGAGAGCTGTCAGAGCGGACTGAAGCTGCTCCTATATGTTTAGCGTTTAACTGACTGAGTTTTGCAACTCTGTTCGTCATTTTCGTCTCGTCCCATCAAGGTAAACGCACTTTCGTCTCGTCACATTTTAGTCATCTCCGACTTATGTTTAGCTCGTCAACGTTACGTCTTCGTCGTGGGAGAAAAGGGAAATATTTTAGTCAACGAAAACAACCAGTGTTGTTCTCGTGTGGAAATTAAAGTTTATCACTTTTGACATGGTGTACTCGCATTATTATGCCATATAATATCATTATCTATAATTTAAAAAATGGTGTCAATAATATCGTTTATCGGCGATAATTTGTAGCACAATTATCGTCCAGCAAAATTTGTTATCGTGACAGGCCTAACTGGCGGCGTATCGGCATACGTCACCGATGCCTCACTGGCAGGTTTCCGCAGTGTCAGGCACATTTCAGTGCAATAAATAATCATCAACAACTAATAATCTGAGTCAGCACATACATTTAGAGGAAAGGAGCTTATGTGATTGGTGAAAACAGGTCTCAGCTGTGTTAAACCCACTCCACACCCTATCTCCTCCCTCCCTACGACTTAGGCTGCTGAGAGGAGCTGAGTTAGGGAGGGGGGATACTTACGCCGGGCTGCGCCACTCACCAAAATACCAAATTGTGCTTGGGAACGCCTTGTCGGTGCAGCAGACCTGATTTATGCCACGCATGCGCCGCGTCGCCGGCGAGGCACGAAAATAGAGCCCAATGTGTATACAGCCCTGTGTTAAAATGTCCAGTGTTACAGCAGCATCTTTACAACCAGGTCCAAAATAAAATACTGTTTTGTTGTTTTGCTGTTAAGGTGAATATTTAAACATGGGACTCCATTAAGGTTTACTTACTTTTGAGGAGAGCCTCAAGTGGTCATTTGGGGGCTGTAGATTTTGGCACTCCTTTGTTGCCTTCCCTCAGACACCCTAGTGGTTGCTTCAAACCCAAACAAGCTATTTCTGATCACTCAGCATCAGTCTCCCCTCCCACAGCGGCCTGTCTGATGTAGACTGATACAGATCTATAAATATGGATTTTATCAAATGTTTTCTCCAGTGGGAGCTATTTTTGGTTGGACTCAGATTTTATTATTCATCTTGTTGCCTGATACAAATAATATTATTCTTATTCAAAGCTGTTATTGTTTTAATGTTATGAGGAACTCCTACTGGGGGAAATGGTTTAGAGAGAATTTTGAAAAGTTATCAGCACATGCAGGACAGGAAGTTTGTTCCCCATGGTCCTGAGAAATTCTCACTTAAATAAGAATAATATGATGATGTTGCTTATCTGAAATACAGAATCAAGGTTCCTGAAACATGATTACCAGGATAACATGGGTCCAGCATACTCGGGTACTCCAATATTTGATGAAATTTTATGCAGATGTGCATTCGAAGCAAATACAGTACGTTACCAAGATGCATTTAAAGGAGCTTTTTTTGTTCTCAAATGCCTCTTTGATGTTAATAATGAAGCTCACATTTTACAGACGCCAGCAATGTTTTTACGCCAGTAGCTGGATATCATTTGATTCATTGCCTCTTTGTTGTATTTGATCCTCTACTCATGCTTACTCATATTTTCTGTGGTTGTTCACAAGCTGCTCACATCACCAGGTAACATCAGTTGTACTTAATGGCATTGCAACACACCCTCAGTCAGAACGTTTCCATGACACTTGAGAAAACTGAATTAGTGCCTTACTCCAATTAAGACCGGACACCTGCACTGCATGTAGACACCTTTGTCCAACTCCGACGAAGACACCCAGATAATGCAATTGGAAATTGATTTTCTCTATCATGTAACCAGTGTAGTCGGAGTACTATTGGACAATGCATGTGTGCTTGCGCATGCGCCATGCCGCCGTAACCCCAAAACAAAAACACCAGAGAAGAGGAGTAGCGTGCACCTTATCTGCAGAAAAAGTAGCACGTACATTAAGTACGACAAAACCACAAGTACGATTTACCATCTTCTTGTGCAAAAATGCCCAGCAGCAGTTGTAGCCACTTCTGATGTCTGGCACGGACCTGCTGTTGTTGTTGGGGCAACCAGAGACAGCGCCACTGAAAAGACCCATTTCGCCCCCTAGTTTTGGGGAGGAGGACACGGTCATGTCAATAATTTGATTTTCTCAGCTGCATGTATACACGGACAAGGAGAGAAGTCCGATTTGGCGAGAAAAAAAAAAGAGCTTAGTCTGATTAAGCTGTACATGTAAACACACTGACTGTTAGCCTCTCATATTGCTGTTGAGTATTTTGTGTGTTTTTCTTTTTCTCTGGTTAATTTGTGCACTTTTTATGCATTAACCACCTCGTCACTTCAGTCTTTGTGATTTTTTTAGCTTAATTATCTGATCAGCCCAAGATGATATCATTGGTCAATACCTCCACCAGTATTACCACTCCACTGGGGATACATTTTGCTACAGCCGAGGGTAGACAACCCCCGATCGCCTTATCACCCTGTAGAGTTGAAGAGCCAATAAATCTCTCGTAATAATTCTATAACAAATCTGTGAGAAAAATATACACTACCATGCAAAATTAAAGCCGCTGGCATCATTGGACCTGAGCGACATCTTTTTCAGGGGTGTCCTTGCTGATTTCAGGGAGACAATGACAACTATATTCTGCATGTGATACAACAGGCTTCGTAGTGAAAGAGCGCAGGCAGGCTGGTCTAATCTCCCTCTATAAATGTGTGGTCCATTATGAAGCAAGAATGGGAAAGAATTTCACCTCCAAACATTCAACAATTCGTGTCCTCAGTTCCCACAGGCTTATTGAGTGTCTTTAAAAGGAAAGGTGATGTAAACAGGCTCTTGTGCCAGCTTTTTAGGAGTGTGTGGCAGGCATGAAACTCAAAATGAGTGAATATTAGCAAAAAGCCCTGAAGTTTATCAGTTTGAACATTTATATCTTATCTTTGTAGTATTCAATTAAATGGTTTGAGGAGGATTTGCAAATTGTTGTATTCTCTATTATTCACATTTACGCTATGTCTCAGCTTTGGAATTGTGGTTTATGGGTGAATATGTAAAATAGTTTACTTTAAGACCTCTTTGGCTAATTGGACTTTATTGTATTAAACCCAGAGGCCTTTCTTTGTTTTCCCCGCCTCATTTATCTCACTTTGGGTGGGCTAAATGAGGGTAATTAATAGAAACACCTTTATGTACAATGCAGCACAGCTCAGCTGCATAAATCCCACCACACAGAAGGATCAGTACAACACATCTTCAAAGTTTTTGTTTCACACTTTCAAAAAGGTGAAAGCAACATATACTAATTATGCAACCAGGTGATTTGCAGAAAGGTTCCAATCACTGTAAGAAATCATCTCTTAGCAAAGAAACTTTCTTCATACAAAGTCATACAATAACTGGATTCCAATGCAATAAATTATAATTTTGACATGTATTTGATACTCCTATTTCTTTGAGAACAGGTGCCGTCCTGTTTTAGAGAGGCTGCTTAAGAACATGTGTGTGTTATATTGCACATATTTGGCAAAAATCTGGCTGATTTAAGCCTGATAGTATATTGAGTGAACTTTTCTGTGTTGTAGCCTACATGTAACCCCCTTCATGCAAATTCTACATGAACTGTTGGTTAAAACCTTTATAAGGAAAGAACCATATATACTGTATAGCAAGCATTGTTACCTTCATTAAAGAGGAATAACTAATCCAGGACTATTGGAAAATTATGCTCATTTCAGATTTTGTTAATGCCAGCGACAGATTTCTAAAAAGTTATAGCAGGTATTTTTACTGTTCTGTCACATCGCCTCTCCTTTCAGCAACACTCTGTAAATATCTGGGAACCCAGGAGACCAGTGTGTGAAGTATGAGTGAAATGTTGTCCTTTTGATTTTTTTGTGTCAGGTGCTCCAAATGTTTTCAATGGATGACATGTCAGGATAGCAGGCAGGCCCGTTTAGCACCCAGACTCTTGCACTTTGCCATGCTGTTGTCATAAGTGCAGAATGTAGTATGGCATCTCCTTACTGTATTATTCAAGGTCTTTCCACAAAAAAGCATTGTCTGGATGGTGGGACATTTTACTCCAAAACCTGAATAAGTAGTTCATCATTTATAGAGCTTTTCTGGATAAGTCATGCCGAGGGTGCTTATATATCCTCATACCATCAGGGTGCTGGCTTTCAAACTGGCTTTAACAATATACTCAAATCAATTTATCAAAAATTTTCAAGTGTTATTAGTGGTCATAGTTGTGAATCTGAAGTTTTTAGCCAAAATCACATTACCTGTGTCATTAAGGGCTTTTCTTCTGCAGAGCTCCAGTCACTCATTAGCTATTCGCCTCTGGGTCGTGGGCAGAAACAGTGCTGCTCTGCCCACTCCTCTTCACGCTAGCTTGTAGCCTAACTTTAGGTAAAGTAACATCGGAGCTATCCGGCTCTCTGACATTAACATCTTCAGGTGCATGTTGAATGCTAATAACATAATTCGCTTTCTTACGAGCATTGCAATCCGCTACTGCACACACTTGTTCCACCATCGTCCTCTCTACTTCTCAGAGTCTGGCCTGAGAGCGGGGTGCTGGGGGGGGAGCAGAGATTTGTGATGTAAATATCCCTCTGTGTCTGAATCTGCTGTTTGGGTCTGCAGGAGGTTTACAGTGAGTTGAACACAGAAATTCTCAAAAATGCAATTTTCCACTTTGCTTTGTCTTGATGTGCATCTTCAGTTGCAGGCATTTCTGGATCATTCCTACATGGTTTCCCCTTTGTGTTGTACAGGTTTAACCTGAATATGTTGATGCAGTGACAAACTGTGTTCACAGAACTCAAGGCCTGATTTATGATAAAGACCATCCAGTACCAGTCATCAGCCGTGTCACATTTGTAAAGAGATTTCTCCAGATTATCTGAATATTTTAGTAATAATCTTTTCTTAAAAGGATTGAATTCTCCATTTTTGGATAATTTTAGTCTTAGGACTATTAATGTGGAGTGGCTGAACTATAACCTCATCCTGTTCCCTGCAGAGTGTGAATCTTTGCTTCCTTGCTCTATATTTGATGACTTTGCACTCTTTTCAATCCAATTAAATTTTATTCAGGCCTGAAAGATTTGCAAACTATTAAATTTCGATTTTAGCCCCAAATTAAAGAGCAGTCCCGTTCCCAAGGAATTGATGTTGCCTAAAACCTAATGTCAAGAGTTCTGATCAGGAAAGAAAAAAGTTACATTCAAAGAAAAACGATAGAAGTAGCAACATTCAGCATTAAAACGTGTCATATATCCTAAATACTCGCGATAAAAACTGAAATTCAAAGTCTTCAGTTTGAGTGGACCGTGTAGCGTATAAAGTGAAACTATCCCCTCTGTTGTTAAGCCAAAGCTTGAAAACTTTTTATTTATCTACAGTGCCTTGTATTCATACCCCTTGAACTTTTTCACATTTTGTCTCTCTACAACCACAAACTTAAAAGTATTTTATTGAGATAAAAATCTTAAAGGTGTGGTGTGCATTTGTATCCCGGCCATGTCTTGGTAGGTTAGCAGTTGTGGCGTACTTCTTCCATTTTGGATGATGGATTGGACAGTGCTCCTTGAGATGTTCAAAGCCTTGAGTATATATTTTTTATAACCTAACCCTGCTTTAAACTTCTCCACAGCTTTTTCCCTGACCTGACTGGTGAGTTCCTTGGTCTTCATGATACTCTTTGTTGACTAGTGTTCGCTAACAAAGCACTGAGGCCTTCACAGAACAGTTGTATTTATGCTGATACTAAATTACACACAGGTGGACTCTATTAACTAATTAGGTGACTTCTGAAGGCAATTGATTGCACTGCATTTTATTTATGGGTATCTGTAAGGATGCCTAGCCCAGGTTCACACTTGAAAGAACGGAAGGTCCACACGAATGGTCAGTTTGACAAACTTTACTGATTGCAGATCTGGGTTACAGCTTCAGCACACCACAAGTGCAACAAAGTTCGGTCTAAGACTGTTCAAGTAGCTGTCCACATTTCCAAGCATTCTGCTGGCATTTAGTTGACCCTAAGAAGAGTCCATGTAAGGTAAGAACAAAGGACAACATATTTTAAGGAGCCTTAGGTGAACATAGGGGAATACCATAGCATAACATATTTTGGGGACCTGAGTGATGTCAAAAATGTGTACAAGGTTTTTGGTTAAGGATGGTTGTCAGAGGCCCCCTGGCTCCAGCAATCTAACACCAATGTGTCCATGGTATTTGAGTTGCATGGCTCCACCACCCTAAAGGCTGATGGGATTGGCTAAAGAAAATTAGCCCCCAATGCACACTACACTTTTCAGATTTTTATTTGTTTAAACTTTTGAAAACCATGTATCATTTTCGTTCTTCTTCACAATTATGTGCGACTTTGTGTTGGTCTATGACAAAAACTCTCAATAAGATACTTTGAAGTTTGTGGTTGTAGAGTGACAAAAAGTGAAAAAGTTCAAAGGGTATGAATACTTTTTCAGGGCACTGTATATGTCATACACTATTGTTATCTGGAAAAAACGAGCTTTTAATTTCCCCAAATATCAGTAATGTCAGATAAACACGCACCGAGTTTTAAGCCAATACTGTTATAATAAGGGAGTTTTGAGTGGGTACGTCCCAAACTTGGAGATGGATTTGCTCCGTGAGTTCCATTGGCGGACGCTAGGAGCTGTCCGTGGTGCTGAATGATGCACGCGAGCAGAGGAGGCTCCGCGCGCACAGCAGAGCGAGCGGCAGCAGATCTCCACTCTCCAGCTTTCAGTCAGAGGAGTCAAGACACTTTGCGGCGTGTGGACGGAAACTAAAGCCCCTGGTCTCAGTCTGAGGAGTGATTGAGACAGAGGAACACGGGCTGAAGTGACGGAGGAGCGGTCAGTGTTTCAGCGGGGAGGACTTGAACCCAAGGACGGTCACCACGAAGAGCTCGAAGAGCGCAAAACGGGGACAAAACGTGATGAAGGCGATCACAGATTATTTTGCTGTGCTGCTGCTTCTGCTGGCGGTGGTGACGGACACTAAAGGTAAGGAATGTCTCAAAGATGAGCTCGCTGTGTTTGAATCCATGCTTCGAGGAGCTGCTCTGCCTCTGTGCTTCTTTATCCCTGTTTTTGTTGTGGATGTTGGGCTGATTTTCGCCCGGGAAGCTTCCCGTTTCTGACGGTTTCTTTTGTCAGTCTCTCCATGTGCTCACACAGCTCTCTGAATTTCACTCCTTTATTGAGAAATTAACACAAATGGGAGGCTGTCATTTGTTATACTCAAGGCTCATTCCAGCCGGATAATACATATATGTAGAGCAAGTTTCCAGTTAAATCACGTTTAAGAGATGAGAATTCAGAGTAAAACTTATTTTTATTGAATTATCTACAGTTTACTATCCCTGTCTGGAGTTTTCAGTTTTCAAGAAGCAAAATCAGCAAAGTCAAGTAGACAAACAGACAGATAAAAATGTAATTTTCCAGCCTTGGACAAAAGCAGAAGTGCTGAAATGAATTCAGCCTATCTCCTGCTGCTCTTGTCAAAATAGTGGAATGGCTGATAGTGTTTTTTTCTCTCTTTTTTTGCAGCCTTTCTGCATTATTCATCTCTCCTTACTAAACAGACACAGCTTCACAACATGGGTGATGTTAGAGAGTTGTGTCCCAGGATGGATTTAATATTTTCTTCTTTGCACTTCAAATAAAGTCAGAGATTTATTCCAAATTCTTCTCTCCCCCTGTTTACTGAACATTAGAAAATATTAAACAAATACTCAGTGCTGGATATAAAGGGAAGAACTAAAGTAGTTGATGTGAGACAGAGCTGGTGCTCAGTCATCAGTTAATGTGATGTGTTTGTGCAGCTGACTCGTGTGTAATTCAGGTTCTGATGGATGCTTACGCCTGTGTTTGTGTTTGCATAATCACTCCTCCATGCCAACACATCACACAAAGTGTTGACTGGCTTTGTGCACCCGAGTCTGGCTGCTGACACGTTGTGTGCAAAAGAGCAGAAGATTAATCAACAGCATGGGTGGATCGAGCTGCTTCTTTTCTTTTTTAAATTAAATACAGAGAGTTTTGGAGGGAATCTGTTACAAAGAATCAGTGATTTTAACCTGATGCTACACCGAGAATGTGTTCCTCATTCATTATTTAAACAGTTAAGAAGTAAACAAGAGCATTTCTCAACCCCAAACAAACACAAAAAGACAAAATTTCCTCTGTTGTTTGTACTCTTTTGCCTCTTTTGCAAGTTGTGTCTTTTTTGCAGGTTATGTACATTTCAACAACAGATATGAGTTTGCAGTCAGGAAAAAATAGTTTTCTTAAACAATTGCTTGTTGCAGCCATGCCTTCAAATCTTAAAAAGATGTGCAAAAAGAGCCCTGGAGAATCATTTAATGGCAAATTTCAGTGTTTTTGTCCTTCGTGAAGTTGTGTGGAGAGAGAATACAAGTAACTTCTTATTTTGGCCTGAAAATAGGTCCCTTTTGAACAGTTTAGTTCATTTTCTATATACACCACAATAGAGTAAAGAGTAATAAGCTGTTTTCACTTCAGCTTTTGAATTTTCAGAAAGAAAGAAATGTTGGAAACTCTTATTGAGACACACATAAAACATTTACCAATGCAGTCTTTACTTTCTATAAAACTGATAAATACCATTCATTTCAATATCCTAGAGAACTGCAAGGTCTTTTCTTTTATAAAGCACACAAACACTTTATATGGCCAGTAGAGAACAGGGACAAGCAAAATCTGACACGTTAGTCACAATTTATAGTGTTCCTGATAACTTCTTGAAGATTATTATGAGGTTTAGGACTTTCAAGTTGCCTGGTTGTGACTTGGGGGGTCATCAATAGTCAGATCTCAAGTGATGTTTGTGGATAAAATGTTAATAAATTAGGAATTAAAACTGTCTTCAAAATCTATCCTTTAAAAGCCTGCTGCAAAAGTAAATGTGGAGTTGTGTATTCTGGTTCTGATGCCTGCAGCCATCAATGAGGTCAAAGGTCAAACTTTCCACTGAGAGCTGCTCCAGTGAGTCACACTGCGAAGGCAATACTTGATCACCATATACTTGTTTTTATAAAACACAAGCTTTCAAACTCTTTTCAGTCAATCAAATGTAAATGTAATGTAAGTTTGATATAGTTTTTATGGATATTGACAGTCCCTCTGAGCCAACACGTCTACTGAAGTTTATCTTAAGTCACTAAAATTAGAATACATTTGATCGGTTTAATAGAAAAATCTTTGATTTGATCAGCCCAAACGTCACCTATGTGTTAAATCTGACCCACTGCTAGTACATAGGGCGTGTAACAGAATTAAAAAAAATATTCGGCAGAAATGTAAAGCTGACCTCCTTTAAGAGCTGAAGTTGCCTTAGTCTCAGACAGGAATTTACCTCATTTCACTCTGTTTCCATTGCAGCGTGCAGTTACTTCCCTACGGACTAATCTACTTTAGGGAGGGGGATTCAATTTCCTGAACCAGTCACTAGAGACCAATCTATCAACCTGACTCTGTTGTCATTTTAGGAGGAAAGTGATGAGTAAGACAATAAGTGCTTATTCTTTTCAGGTTTTTTTTTAGACTAAACTGTTTCAGTATTGAGTGATACTGAGAAGAAGAAATGCCTGCAGTGTTCTTGCATTGGTTTGCATTTCTTGTTTATAGCAGTCTAACTTGTAGCTGCTCCAGTGGTTCTTGTGGGATCTGGGTTATTTGACCAGAGGATAAATTGTTTCAAGTCATGATGCTGAACATATCTTTCAACTCTTTGCAGATTTAAAGATCTTGATCCACGCTAGGGCTGAACAAAAATAAGATGAATGTAGTGTAATGCCCTTTAGAAAAATAATAAGTGTTGTAAGAACTGCAGCAAGCACAGAAAATGCACACAGTCTGCCATAAGGGTTGCTTTTCGTCAAGACCATGCTGAGGATTTGATTTGCCTCATGGGTCTTTTCTTTTAAGAGTTAAGACCAGTCAAACCAGACCCCCTCAACAGACCTCAGTTTTCCCAAAATCCATTAGAGGTAAATTCAGCTTTGAAATAAAAAAAAGCAGCTGCATTAAAGATAGTTTAGCTATTTTACAAGGATTACTTCTAAAGGTAACCTTGTGTAAACTCACAT